TTCCCTACCATAGAATGTGTACTATTTTTGCAGCACATCCTCCTTTAAATGCTTTTCAGAAGTGCAAACCCTTGGTCAGTTAGGATAAATAAACAATGGCCTGTCAGTAGTTTGATAAGCTTCTTCTGCCCACTTTTACAAACCACTGTTCAGGTGGGCTGTATTTGTAATCCATCAATAATGGTGATAACGACTGCTGATTGAGTTGACTTAGCCCTGCTCACGCCTGTCATTAGCTCTCACCATACACCACCACATCAAAGTTAGTCACACAAAAAGTAGAAAAGCATGAACGACAATGGTGAGAGATAAATACATATACACATTTTAACCTAATAAATACACATATGCAAAAAAGAAAAAGAAAACCCCCCACAAACACACCCTCAGAACCATCAAAGTAAAGTTCAAACCACCAGCCTAGTCTTTCTTGCAGTAAAGCTGTATCATGAGCTGTCATCCAGCACATCCCTAATAGGAAACAAGCTGGTGCCAAAAAATGTTGTCACTCCAGAAAACAGGAGCAGCAGCACATTTCAGCCAATAACAACACCACCATGTCGATTCCGGCGGGGTGATATTGGATGATATTGACTGTTGGGAGTATTGCTGCGCTTCTCAAAGTCATTTCAGACCAAAGCAAGGACACGGACACACACCCGACACACAGTACGCACACACAAACACTGGTCTGATCGGAGAGCAGACAATGAACAGCAGAATGAAGGTAGTGCATACTGACAACATCTTTTCTGTGGGTGACAGGTCTCCATCAGTCCACATCAATCAAAACAAATATATCATACGTGCAGACACACACGCCAACCCAGTCTTACAGCAAAATGTATAATAGCTACATTGGTCGGCAACACAAAACCTACAAATTTCACAATAACATCTCCAAAATTGTGACATTGCATTGTCTTTCTGGCATTGAAAACTAAAGAAAATGGTTAATGGTAGGCACAGAAAGTACATGGCTGAGGTTAAGGAAAGACATGAGGTTTGGTTAAAACACTGTCAAATGAAAAAAACCCCACTTAAATCAAAAATACAATACTGCACAATGTTGGATACGGGACACAATCTTTGGTTGTCTGTGTCAAAATCAAGTGCTTATTGGCGCCTTCTAGTGTTTTAACCTTCTATAGTTCAAAACCATTTGACTTCAACAGACACTAAATGTTAGCTGCCCAATCCTCACTCCAGTCCAGCTGGTGGTGATATTATGCTGTTTTGTTGTTTGCCAACTTGCATAAAGCAACAAGAAAAAGGAGGCTGGGCTGCAATACAAGAAAAGTTGATATGTCACAATTTTACCACCCTGACTGTGGCGTTACTACATTTTACTCTGTGAATCAACGTCGCTAGTGTACAATTTCATGCGAGACTGGGCTGCGCACACACTCAGTCACATACTTGTGCACACACACACACACACACACACACACACACACGCACACACACACACAGAGGATTCACTGGTGAAAACATGTTCAACCTGTCATCCTGTTGGACACAATAAAAGACAAAATAAACTCCCCTGACTGCTGTACAGGAGGGTGTGAGTGTGTGTGTGGACAGGAGAAGTCTTTGTGCACACTAGACTCATCATCTCAGTAATTGATGGTCATCTGTCACAGCACTGCATTGATAATCTTCTGTGGGACAGGCATTTATTTAACAAGATGAACGGCAGCCTATCTGCTGTATCTGGAGAGACTACTCTATGCTCTCATTTACTGAAGCACAGATGGCGACAGAGTAAAAATGAGATGAATTGCAGTGAAGGCTGTCTACTGGATCATCATGTGTGATGAGAAAAATAGAGACCGCTCTTACCTGCGACTTGAACCAGATCTGCGTTGGTCACGTTCTTGGGGTTGGGACCAACTCTGAAAGTCAAGGCAGGACCCAGGACACTGGGGGGGAAACAGCAGAGAAGAATGTGTATTTGAAGGATTCGTTTTCAGAATTTTAAAGCTCCTCTTAGGTTTTATGTGCTAAACTATATCAGCAGAAGCAAGAATGTGATACATGGAAAAAACCTTTGTTTTTGTACAGTGCTTTCACTGGACTTTTCAAAGTGACTGCAACATCAAACCAAAACCAGGCTGTACACAGTAATTTGTGAGCATAAGACTAAACATTATAATGTCTGTGTTATGTTGGCTGTAACCTGTTAAAATCCCAAATTAAACTAAAATTTGTAAGAGGCTTAATTAGAGAGTGGCTAAACGAACAAATAAAGAGCGACTTCACAATGGAGAGTTGTTTTTCCAAACAAAATTCAGTAAGGCAACAGTAAACATGTCATCCCCCACAAATGATGAAGACCCCATCTGGGCCAATCAGTAACAAATGTGGCACTGGGTCTGGAGCTGTAATTGTAGTTCCCCAATGGGCCAATCAGGATGATTCTGACTGCTGGAACGCAGCAGTGAGATCATTTTCCTCAAGTTTTGTCAAAATTAAAATGAAATTAGTTACTGTATATCTGAAATAGTGATGATGAAAACATGGCATAAGCAAACAATCAGTGCAGGAGTGAGATGTATCACTTCCCCGAGTTCTAAGAAAATCCAAACAGCTCATTTAACGGTGCAAGAACTGAGAAATGAGATCCTCACTGTGAAAAACAGCATCTAATCAAGTACTTTTAGCCTTTTATTCAGTCACAAATGTCTCATTTTAGAAAACAAAAAATGAAAAAACTCCCATTACATTGAGAAAATTTCAACCTATACCATGCATTTGACACACCAGCACCACCTAGCCATGCTTGTCCTGCCTCAGCCTTCCATAAGGGCAGTACCTGGCCGATTCCCACAGTTCATTGCCAACCGCTCCCACAAGGTCACCAACATTCCAAGCTGTATACCGATACCAATCCCTTCTTTTCACAAACCAGAAAGAAGAGGCCAACGTTGTGTCAACCCAGGTTTCCTCTGACGTTGCCCATGAACACAATTAATTGTCAGGGGTGCCCTGTTCATGTATGAACAGACGTCAGACCCCAGCACTAGTTTACACCACCTGCCAGTTACCAAGGTAGTCAACCTGGTTGTAGTCAGACAGAAACGTCGGGATTGAGCTAGTAAGGGAGAGTCCAAACTGTCCTAAAACCTAAATGCTCCAAAAGAAAATGAATCAATCAGTCTTTGCTAATTCTGGGCCACTGGAAACAAAAATGATATCTAAAATTGTAGATTGGCTCTGGTTTGTAAGATATGGCAGTGGCTATGTAGGAATGTTGCTTGAAAATGACAGAAGGAAAGAAGGAAAGATCTCTGTGCAAAACCAGAAAGTGTAACTAAAACTCTTGGTGGATCTAATGACAAAACTGTTTGCTTCTGATATAACAAGTTTCTTAGGTGAAACATTATTCTGGGATTGTGACTCAGACAGTACAAACCACACATTTTTCATTTAACTAAGATGCTCATTATGTTCATACCTGAGCTCTAAACTCAAGCTCTTTGTTGTAAACATCAGCCCAGATTCGCTGTTGAAGTCAAACGCCATCACTGTCTATACTTGTTAGTGGTTTTTGCATGTTGGCATAAAACACAAATTCCTAAATATCTCAAAAACTAAATGCTCATATTTTAATTCAGCACAAAATCTATAAAAAATTATCACATTTCAATGTAAGCAGAAAACTTTTTTTTTTTTATTGTAGACCAAAGCCACTGTCCTGTATTTCTTTCAGTTATAATCCCCAAACTGTTACATCATGTCTGAACTGTTGTGTCCTGGAAAGTGTACATACAGTACAGTTTTAGTGTCCTCCCTGGCAGACTCTATGACACAGAGGGAGATTCATCAGGCTGCCAGAGCGCTGTGACCCCAACTCCCTCACCATCAGTCAGCCTACTACAGAGGCGGCGACACTCGCTTGGCCAGGAGCAGTACAGTATATGAGCCAACACTGCCAGACAGACGGACCCATCCATGAACTGATGCATTTGTGAATATGATTGCAAATGTGCACACGGCTTTGAGAGAAATATGTCCTTCTCTAATTCCTTCACCTGGGCCCTACTTGCTCTCTTTGATGTCAATATTTCCACAGCCTCTCTCCTCTCTGGATAAAGGCCTTCTGCTAGAGATCTCAAAGCATCTTAAATTGAACTGATGTGATTTATTTCCCAGGCCACACAAATGCTAATTAAATACACGGGGGGGAGAAACACTGCCACAGTTGGGAGATGAAGTTAAGATAGACAAGTTATCTGGAAGAGGTCAGACTGTGTCCTGTGCTATCAGATGTGCAAGCTTGGACTTTATATTAGCTCTGCTGGTGGGGCATGAGGAGTATGTATGTGCAGGCTGGTTGATGTGAGCGTGTGTGCACCTGCACAGACAGTGTGTGACAATCAACTTGTGAGTGTGTGTCTCACTCCCCCTAGTGTTTCTGATGCATAAAACACTTACGTCATCTGAAAAAGGCACAGCCCTTCAGCATCCTAAACTGCCATTTCATATCTCTTTAGAAATGAGAATATCTTATATTGCAGAGGGAAAATGTCTGTAGCAGCAAACTCAAACACACACACGGTCAGCAAACAAAAATTTTAACATCTAAACCTTTAGTTGCCTCTACTCTTCTCTGCATGCCTGTTGCCATATTTGAGTAGGTCTTCCCACATCTTCCTATCAGAGCAAGCGAGAGGCCCCCTGAAGCATGGTGGTGTGCTCTGACCCAGCTCTTCTTCTCCACCTGACTGATATTCAGAAAGAGGCTTTCAAACACTCACCCGCCATGGCCGCACAACAAGAAGCACAATGGGCTTGCATCACATCCTCCATCTTGCCTATTTCTACATGAATGCACTTTCATTACTTTGTAAAAGGAAAGAGAAAACAAGCCAAACAAAGAAGACATTTTCTGTGTTTGTCCTCTGTACAAAAGCTGCCAATATGAGGTGTAATACGATGTAGAAGCTTTATTTGATGCGTCTGTCTGTGGCTTTTACACTAGTTTAACAGCTTCAATGTACTGTTATCAAGGATATTTGCAGTGGTAGAATAAAAAAAAGTGCTCAGATAGGACATTTATTTGAACCCTACACATTGCTGCTACCTTGAAAATTCAAATTTTACACACAGAACATGTTTGCTTTGAATTTGCTTCAAGTCAGCCAGGTGCACATGCTGTTTACATGTTACTGCAGTCATTTCAGGGTCTGACACTGTGGGTCAACTGAGCCATGCTTTGACCCCTTTAACAATTTGCCAGATTAACTATTAGCAGTGCATGTTTGTATCATTACAGCCAGACTCCACTGAAAGCTGTTTAAGAATAATACTGTATTATAACTAAGCCCTCTTCATCACAAATAATAATACTTTCTCAATAATACAATAAATATATATTACTCTTACCAGTGCTGTAGCACTCGAGACTGATAAATCTCTCAACTCAGTCTCAAGTCTGACTTGAGCTCTGACTGCGTTCAGACTCTGAAGTTGGAGACAAGGACTGGAACAATTTTGTGTGTCTAACAGGCCATAATAATTTGACATAAAATATTGACATTAAAACCGGTTTGCCTGCACCGTGCTGTATCTGGCACTCCTTTTAAAATGGTGAGAACTGTGTTTGTGTTTAATGTAGAACTTGATGACTCATACTCGGGTAACGGGGACTTGACTCAGGCTATTCTTTGGTTGCTCGAGGCTCAACTCAAACTCGAGGTTTAGTGACTTGACTGCAACACTGGCTGTTGCTGCACTTGTGCTGTATCTGAGTACAGGATCAGAACATTTCCACCACTGGGTATATGAATGACCGTACAGGGTTACTCTATAATGTCACTGGCTATTCATAACCATCTATACAACACCATTAATCATTATGTGCATCAGGAGTTGATTCTGATTGATGTGAAATGACAGGTGTAATAACAAGATTAACTCAATCAGTGAGGGTGTGATGACATATCCCGGTGTTCTTGCTCACTGACATTAAATGATGGGGTTGAGTTTAAAGATGGAGATCAGAATGTCTTCTTGGTTGCATTTTGAGGTCACTGTGTATTTGGCGAAAAACACATACAGAATACTGTCAGACAGTTTCCCCTCTCAGTTGCTATTATTCAAGCTATAGTTACAGAGCAGCCACAGACTGCAGTGCACAGGCTTTGGTGTTCATATGCTGTGGGTGTTACTGAACCACCCAGACTTCACTTCTCCTGCAGGAAAATCTTGAGAGGCTTGTCAGATCTTAGTTGAACACATCTTTGCCTCCTACATGGTCTGACACAAAATGTACAACAGAACCGTGGTCTAAGCACAAACCACCCTGGGTTCAAGGAGAGTTTGCCTGCTTCTTAATATATTAACTTCTTCCTTCTGGACAACTTTCTCTATTTCCAGCTCTCCACCCGCTGCTGCTTCCCTTCCTCTCATTGCCTCTAACTGAGAAGTGTTTGATGGCTTGAATGCTTTCTCTTTGACAACGATGCAGTGACAATAGAGGCAATGCAGTGTTTTGAATACAATGGAGACATCAGTGAATGTCTGGGGTTAATTAGGCCAGATGTCTCTGCTTGTCAGAAGTCAAACCCTCCAAAAGGTCAGAAAAACAACAAATGCCTACAGTCTCTGGAAGTGTGGCACAGTATTTTCCCGTAAACAGACCAACAGCATGTGGACAACCTTCACTTTGTTTTCCCAATCTCAAAGGCACTAAATAAAACAATGAACTGCTTCAAATGTGGCCAAGTATTATTTTTTGCCATGTATAGCTTGTAACCTGTGAGGTTATTCATTATTTGTGACAGTGTGGGTGAGTGTGGGATGTTTGTACATACGAGAGCTGGGTGAGGTATGTGGCGTGAAGATTCAGCCTCTGCGTCAGATGCTCCATGAGGGCTAAGCCCTGGTCACTGGTAAGAGAGCTGGGGGAGAAACACACAGATAGCTGGGGGTCATGTTTGGTGGGCTACACCCATACAAGGTACATGCAGCCATTCAGCCTTTAAAATGCAATTTTTTCTATGGAGATACTGCCATACTGATCAAATTCATACCCATAAATGGGTCATTGTACACTAGCAGAAGCTATGGTTGTCTGAATGGATGCACTGCAAACATGCACACACCAGCAGACAGACACACAGGCACACTAAACAAACACACAAAGCACCACGCCATGGGAAAAGGGATCAGCTGCCTCTTCAGGCTTGGTAAATCACCTGCCTTTTTCCAGCAATGAGACAAACAATAAGGTGCAAATGGAACCTGCATGAGGTGTAATGGCTGTATCATATGAATGTGCCTTTCTCTCTTTCTCTCATCTTTCTTTTTCTTTTCCTACATTTGCCTTTTTTCACTCTCATGCGCATATGCTCAGAGTAAAACATGATAACACAAGAGTACACAAACACAACGACATGCACGCGCCCTCATGGTGAGATGAGAATAATAGGGTGCAAATGGAATGGAGGTGAAGTGTAATGGTGGTCTGATAAAGCTATGCCTCATCTCAGCTCAGTCCATAGCCGCTCTCTCACTCCAAGAATAAATCGCCAAGGAAATAGACCAAACAAAGGCAATCTGCAGGACAACGTGCTAGAGGGAGGAAATGAGACGAGCATACACACACAGAAAGCTACTTTATTGCTGACATCTTAACCTGGAACCAGTGAGATTACCGAGGTGACATGCTTCAAAGTCATGGATCATGATGAGACACAATTTGATTTTTGCTACCGCTCTAAAGCAGAAAAATTTGAAATGAATTGGGAATCAATGCCATGCATGTATTATCAGTCATATATTTACTTTTTTCAAATACTTGGCATCCACTTGAATTAAAAAAAGAGATTTTACAATTATTATACATATTTCAAAATTATGTTTAGATCGTTTATATTTGACATCAATTTTTCTCTAGCAGAACACAAAGAGTACTGTGCATGAATGGCTGATTCACTCCAACTTTAAAAGAGTGGGTGGTTCTCTTATTCTCCACTTTTTGAGGGGTTTTGAAAGTTAAACATTTGCAGAAGCAATTCCAGACACGTTTGCATCCCTCTGTGGTAATTCTAGCAACTGGAGAGCTCCAGGAGTGACTTGGTTGTTGATGCTAGCACTTTTCGCCTTGGGTTTGTCTCTCTCTCTTTTCTGTCCATACTTTTCCACATCCCCCCCTCTTCACACACACACACACACACACACACACACATACACCACCCCACCTTCCACCATATTCCCTAAACCCCCACCCCACTACCAAGCATCACAATGTCAGGAGCTGTCAGATAAGCAGGTTTGCGTAGCCTAACTGCAGGGTGTGAAGGTGCTGGGGATAGTAACTGTGCAATCATCAGGTCTGAACCAAACGCAGGCACCTCTATAAGCCAGTTATTGGTGTCCACTAGGTGAGCAGATAATAGATGAGGAGAAGGTGACCTCTCTCTTTCCTCCGGCACATACCTGCCTAGATTGTGTGTTTACGTCTTAATCTACCTTCCTATATGTGTGGCAATAAAGTGATGAAATTGTACCCCTTGGACCTTGATGAGCCTATGTCTCTTGAACAGGTGAAGGACAACCCACTGACACTGGACTTGATAACACCATAAAGGGATTTGGGAGAGGGCCAATGGCGAAGACACAGTTGATAGGAACTTATCTTTGCTGAGTGCGAGCTGAGTGAGAAGTGAGTGAGAAGGAGAGAGAGAGAACCTAGCTGCCCTTCCTGACAAAGTATCATCATTAAAGCTGTAATACTGCACACTAATACCCACATGCTAAAGGATTTATCATCCCTGCTACAATAATCAGGTGAGCACACATTAAGGATTTCAAAGTACAGTATCCTTTCCCATAAAGGCATAAATATGTGGGTGGGTTTGGGAGGAACTGCATCTCTTGAAGGCAGTGAATAAAGCAGACATTATGCTTGCTATTAAGGTAGTTGGTCTTGGAACAGGTCAAACCACTTGTGAGTGGAGCAATAAACATTAATACAGTATGTATGAGCCACACTACCAAGGTAGTTGATAGAAACCATTTAAGAATGAGAGAGTAGCTTTACTGAGCTGTTGCTTTTCACACCTACTGTAGGTTTTTGAGGACAAAGACAAAGGTAACAGAGGTTATTACCAAGCAGTGACAAATGTGTGACTCAAGTGGTTAAAACAGAACTACAGTTAATACAAAGTTCACAGAAACACAACCTGCTGCAGGATCTCCATGTTACACTTTAAAATTCCATTGCAGTGCTGTTTTGTTTGATATTTTATTCTTTTCATAAAAATCTTTATAGCTTTAAGCACAGAGAACTGAATGACCAATATTCAATAGACCAGCATTTATAGACTAGCTTCATCTGCAACATCCCTCCATTGTACAGCTATACAAATATGCCCTATGCAACAGGAAAACACTAATCAAAAGGGCCCAAAACACAAAGAGCAAAAACAAAAAGCCTAAAAATCCCATTCAAAGGCACCTGATCATTCTGAACAACAGTCTGATCCCTCTCTCATTCTACTGTTCAGTTTGCAATTCTGTACACAGAAGAAAAGCAACACATCCAATTTCTCATACTGGTGCAAAAAAATTAATATTGATTTTGTAGATTATAATTTAGAAATGTGATTGCAATCTGCTCATTGTAATGTTGATATATAATGTTAATACAACTACTAATACCAACAATAACAATGTGAGTCATACTCACTCTGAGCTGGTGATAATGTAGCCAAAGTGTCTGTCCTTCCCTCTGCTGGAGAACTCCTTCATCCCCACATGGACCAGCTGAGTTTTAATTTTCATGTCCTTCTTCTCTGGCTCCTCCACCTGCTGCTTTGCTGCCGGGGTCTGAATCCCCTGCATCCACCTGTCGATCTCTGAGTCCACCTGTGCATTGGGCCCTTCTGCATTCCCAGTTAACCGTAGGATGGAGCCTTCCTTCGCAGGCACGGCCATGGTCTTCTCCTCCCAGCGATGGGGCAGGGGAACTTGGCCCTGCGTTGTACGGCTGTGAACACTCTCAAGTCCGATTGTTTTCTGTAGTGGAGCTGGGGGTCCAGTGTTGACCCCTGGAGTGTCATCGAAGGGCTCCATATTGAGGTAGTCCAACAGCTTGGAGAAGAAAGCTGCATGCTGTGTTGAATCAAAGATTTCTCTTCAGAATATTAAAGAATCTTCTACCTCATTGCATCTATATATTACTTTAGTTTCCCATAAGAATATTGTTCATCAAAATCTGAAGAAAAATTAATTAATACCTTGAATAAAAATGTCAGTCACTGAAACATATTAAACTGTGTTGCATTCACTGACACGTCTATGTCTGTGTAGGCCCAAGGTCTAATCCTTTTTCCTAGCAAAGTGTTAAAGGCTGCATTCACGAGGTTTATTACGCAAGAAGATTTTGACTCATGTCACTTTCAAAGCCATTTAATGAAAATAATGTTAAACAGCACTTAAGGAATTTTTGAAGATCTTAAAGTTCTAATCATTTGAAAGTAAATGCTAGTCTGCACAACTTTCAAACCATTTCTATTTGAAGTAGCATTCAAATGTGAATAAACTTTGAACGTGTCTTGCTCCTTCAGAAACCAATTTGTTGTGTGAACAGAGAAAATTGAAAATTACCTTGTCAACAGGCTCTTTGTCTGCACCTTCTACTTGCTGGCCTGGAAACAAACACATCACTGTGAGCGGATTGTGTGAAAACTAAAGTTCTCTTTTGTATTTAGCAGTGAAAAAAAGTTATTCAAAGACTCAAACACATTTGCCAGAACTTCCTATGAAAATTATAATAATCAAAGCTGTAAGTTTCCAGTGATTTATAGTCTTATATCTATAGCAGAAAATAAACAACTACTTTGACTGCTTCCAGCTTTTATTCTCAACACCCACCTTGTTGTTTCATTCTCACTGTGTCTTTCTGGTTCTGATCCTGTTCTTTGTCCAACTTCAGTTCAAGCTGATGATTCAGCTGCATGCCTGCCAGTGGCTCCTTGTTACCCTCCATGCCCCCCCTGGAATCAGCAGATCCTGGTCCTGGCTGGGCCCCAACCGCAGGCCGCTCCTCATCCACTTTCTGCAGAGAACCTGTGATGACCTTAGCCACATGGTCCTGATCTTTCCCCATCAAAGCCCCCATGCTGATGCTGTGCCTCCCCAGCTGGTTCACCACATTCTGGATAAACCGCTCTGGTCAGGAACGTAAAGAATAGGAACCCACAATTATACCAAGTGCATTTAAATGTAATTAAATCACACAGAACAACACACGTTTCTCTAAAACCGGACAGCAAAAAGAAACTTTGTGCTACAAATATAAAAGCCAGACTATGAAATAAGAGGTAAAAGCTCATCTTACCGTCCATGATGTTAAGAGGTTCTTCAGCAGTTAAACGGTTTGAGTTGGCCTTGAATGGAAGTCTGTTTAGATTAGGTTTCTGGGTTCTGGAGCCAAAAGCCACCTGAGGCTGCAATTCTGAATGGTCACTCTGAGCTGGCTGAATGGAACTGAGGTAGTGGAGCTTCCCTTCGGGCCACACAGCCTGTCCACCTGGGGTGTTCTGTGGGGTGCCTGATGCTCCGGCAAGAAGCTGCTCCAGGTGGCTAGAAAGCAGCTTGCCTCTTGCCAGGTCCCAGTTGGAGAAAGTTGTACTGAGCTTGGGGTGCCTGCCCTCACCACTCTGGGTCAAGACTTTGGTGACAGGAGGTTGGTCAGCTCCTTTCTGAAGACTGTAGATAGTGGTCTCCTTCCAGCCCTGCTGGGGTTTTGGCTGCTTGGACTCCAAAGGACCATCTCCATTCTACAACACAACAGGTCCATTTAGCACATTTGGGGGCATTTTAATGTCAGACATCATTATTTTTTCAATGTACTGACAGAAAAATTTAGCAAATAAATTCATAGTGCTTAGAGCTGTAACAGTCGCTCAATTGATTGACAAAATAATGATAGTCCCTTTTAAAGATTTTGTGAGTTTCTACCTTCAGAGAAGCCCATGGCTGTGACTCAGTACGCCTTCTGTGCTTCATGCTAGCTTCCCAGAATTTGTGTATTATAGCTTCAAGTTATTTTTCCAAGCAAAAATGCCAAATTTAGCCTGTTTCTACTCTTCATTTGCAAGGATTTGCTGCTTTAATTAGTTTGTATGTAGTAGTGAATGAAATATGTCTGGATTTTAGTCCAACAAAAAAAAAAAAAAAAAAAAAAAAAAAAAACATTTTAGGCTTTTTTGGGCATTTTTCTTAATTTTTCTTAATTTTCTAACATTTTATAGACCAAACGTTTCATCTGTTAATGTAGAAAATATCTGCAGATTAACTGATAATGAAAATGATCATTAGTTACAACCCTAGTGCCAGACGGTGCATCCATAACTGCATCCACATCTCCCTCCCTTACCCGTTTTCCTCGAGTCTGAATCTCACACACATTAGATGTGAGGAAAAAAGAATCGAAGAATCAAATTTTACAGACAAGAGACATCGTTCTGCTTTGGTCCTTCACCTTGAGTGTCCAATCACCAACTGAATTCCAATAAAGGGGTGTGTGTTGGTCCATAAAATATTTCTGCAAGTGATGGTCTCTAGTATCTTCTCCCATGGCTCCTCCAGCAGCCTCCTCACTTCTCACAGCAGTAATAAGACCTTTGGGACATCTTTCAAGATGGCGGACTGGAACGACTTTTGGGTTGAGAGAGGATTGAGAAACAAGGGATGTACCCATAGTACCCTAAAGACTTTGGTGACCCCTTAACATTTCCTCTAGCGCCTCCATGAGGTTAACATTTGTAGTTTTGAGTGAAATGTCTGACACCTGACATGTCTGATCCCCAGGGGATGGACAGTATTAACGGTTTGTAATGACAGCTGTACTTATGTTTAATGCTAATTATCAAATGTGAGAATAATAACACTTTAAACTAAGATGGCAAATATGGTTATACCTGCTAAACACCTACATTTTAGCAAAACAAAACGAAAACTCCGCTGTGCCAAAATACAGCCTCACAAAGCTGCAAGCACAGCTGTGGATTGTTAGTCTTGTTTTGTTCATTTCTGTAAAGCTAAAGTGACAACAATCACTCATGTTTCACATGATAAATCTTGAACCTAGCTTCAGCTCTGCAATAGTGTTTTCCAAATAAGAACATTAAATGGGTTGTACTGGGTCAGCATTGTTGTGACAGCCTTTGGTATAAAAAGAGAAGCAACCTGGGCTTGACTAGACAGGACAGGATATGAATAGGGACTCTAGATCAAAGACAAATGCCCTTGGAAATTGCATTATGGAAATCATAGATGAGATAGTGTCACTCAAAGAGTAATTTCATGCACTCCCATAACACACAACAAACTTTAAAAGCATATCGCCTCTGTCAAAGAAGCAGCAGCAATCCCTTATCTATAAAAAAAAAAAAATATGAGTTATCAGATTTCAAAGTTAGCCTTGTGAGTGTCTATTTGACACATGATGAATTATATATACACATTACAATACATTGGTGCACAGGTATTTAGAAGATTTGTTGCTGGATTTAATACTGACACCAAATTGTGTGATTTTGCCCTTTTTTTTTTTTGTCTGTGAGGAAGAGAAATCTTTGAATCATAAAGGCTCACGCTTCAATTCAGCATATAGTATATCTGATCCCCTGAGCATTATTATCCATGCTGCTGCTCCCTTGGTGCCATTTTCTGTCCTTCAAATGTATATAGAGAAAATGTCAGTCTTTCTGAGCCCACCATACTGAGGGGCCATAATGGCATTAGCACAATGAGACAGGGGTGCTCTGCCATTCATGCTAAACACGTTTGCTTTTTACCATCACACTTGACAACAAAGGACTTCATCTCATCAATAAGAAAGGTCCTGAACTCTTCAACTTTGCATTATGGCTGCAGTGACACAGCAGCAGGAAGCAGCTTGGCTATGAAGCATGTAACACAAAGCTGGGGTTCCACTCAAAATATGAGGGATGAATAATATAAAGAGGTGACAGAAGATCTTTATGTTAAAGGTTCTCTGCTCAATGGGGGAGAGAAGACAGAAGGCAAGAAATGCTGAACAGGGATGAGATGGCAACCCCAGCAAAAGACAGATACTGACTTTATTTCTGTGAAAAGAGGAGGCCCTATAGAAAATATGTTTTTGTTTACATATGCAGCATGAACTGATATTGCTCATTTCTATATCGACTGTGACATCAAAACAGTGTCTGAAAAAAGTTGCCATTGTTACTCCGTTGAAACTGACAAATCTCTCAGACAGAATTTTTTTTTAAGTTCAAAATTTAAGCAGGAGGGGCAGAGATACCCTGACTTAGCTTATGTCTCCATTTATTATTGGTAAAGCTCCAGAAACACATTTAATGCATCTGGATCTAATTTTACATAGACTATCTCTGCTCCCTAAATGTCAACTTCTTTCAAATCTAACGCTGTAAAAAAATTGATGTAGGCTTTCTGTTAAAATTTTGCAAGCCCAAGACATTACCATATTTAAACTCAGAAAGCTTCCCCCTGAGCCACACAACTGTTATTAACCTACATGTTTTTTGTTTTTGTCACAGCTGAGTAATCCTCTCCAATATCAGCAACTGTTACAGGTCTACAGTGTGCTGGTCTCTTACCTGAGTGCTGGCTCTTTCTGGTTGGACTCCTGGTTGTCCATTTACTGCAGCATGTGGCAGGAAGCCCAGGTTTGTCAGGTACTGCTGAAGGCTTCTACTCAGCCCTGCCTGCACAGGCCTCAGCTTCCTGTCTCTGGAGCTGCTGTAGGAGGTCAGAGGGCTTGAAGCTGCGGGCTTGTGGCGCAGGGGGACATTCCTCAGCTTGGACAGCTCTCTAGAAATGACCTGCTGAGTGATGTCATCCTGCCATGTGAATCCTAGAAACAAAGAGCTCAGGTTAGGATTCTGCACTTTAACTTATGATAATGGTTTTGGGTCTTTTAAACATAACATTCAACCTGTAAAAAAGGAGATTTTGTAAAATAGGTCAGAAATAGGTTTCCAGGTCAGAAACTACTTTGGTGAAGATATTAAACAAGCAAAAGATAGTGAACCTAACTTGGTCAGTATATCCACTTATCCATACAAAACCAAGGGCATAGAACAGATAACAAAACTTCATATACAATGGGAATGGGAGAGAGAACTGAGCCTGAAGACAAATGAGAATAATTAGCATAATATATAAGAATGCCAGAAAAACACTACCAATTTAAGGTCCATGAAACATGAAATCTTAGATAAACTTACAGCACAAAATGATCATCGCTAACAAATATTGTAATTTGCTAGACCATTTTCATTTTTTCTGAGCTTGACCCTTAATTTTTTCACATTTATATGTTTTGTTCAGATATCATAGAACAAAAGTTATATATCTAAACATGAAATCTTAGATAAACTTACAGCACAAAATGATCATCGCTAACAAATATTGTAAGCAGCCAACACGACAGCCATCACACAGAAATGGCTGCAAGCAAAGGAGGACTCTAATGCAATTCAATAAAATGGTCACATTTAAGGAGAAATTGAACTTTATCTCAAGTTTGTGATCAAAATAATATGTACTATGTTGGGAAAACATGTACAGTATGCAGTATACGTGCATACTGTATAAGATGGAATGTATGCCATTGAAAGGTAGTGTCATTAACCCCCCTCATTTAACTTGAAACTTATCTATTATGTTTGTGTGTGACTGTATTTGTTTTCTCCACTTTGGAGTAATTGTTTATAGTGTAGTCACCTCAGCATTACAAGGCAAACAAAACAAAAGATGAATCAAAATGGTAGAGGTGGTCATGACACACGAAAGGAAGCCATAACTACACACACACTTGAGCACACATATAAAAACAGACGTGTCCATAAACACGCACGCCACAGCCAGTCAACAAGCCCAGGGAGAATGTCACACTGTACAGCGCTTTGCCAGCATCTCTGCTAATTGCCAACACATAGCTGGGATGAAGAACTCCTGGGCAGGGGTAAAGCGCAGCGGTGCCAGGACCAGATGGAGCTACCCAAGCAAAAAAAAGATACCCAAAACATGGCCCCGCTCCCAATGAGCCAAGAGGCACTGCATTCCATTGGCAAAGAGCATAGAAATACCAAAGATGATATCCTTTTTCAAGGAGCCAAGATGTTCACTGATGACACTTCCATTCTACAGATGCATTTTTTTTAATGAGAAAGAAGCAATTACATTAGATTCCTAACTGCCACATACCCCACCTTTCACCGGACACATCTTAATTAAGAAACAGCCCTAATGATGTGGACATGCTTAATAGCAATAAACTGGGTAGAACTACATGATAAAATGAATGTGTCTACACTGCAAAATGTCTTCATTACTCTGGCTGCTCACCCATAGACACTGGGCCTTCTCATAGATATTCATAAGTGCCAGATGAGGATCTGAGCAATGCAGAGCAGCTACAGATGCCTCCAGTCATTCTTGGCAGCACTGAATTTAGCACAAAGCAGCTTATGTTGCCACTGTTCTGGAACGCAGCTCAGCAATCCATCAATACAACAATGACAGTTAACTACCCGTGGCTTACACCTGTGGTGTAGTATACTTGCTATATATTAGCATGGTGATAATCATCAGTCATGATGTGAAATTACATCTGGCTTCAGCCCAGAAGGAGCCATGCAGTATAGGCAGTTAGCTGCAGTTGGTTAAATGGGTTCAGAGTAAATGTGTGATGTTGCCACAACAGGATGAGGCTGGCTTCATTGACTGCAACATCTCTATCCCCCTCTGTTACCTCCAGGACGTGCTCATTCCTCTACATGGTTTGTGTGTCTGTAATGGGCACACTTGAGGGAAAAGGTATGCTGGCACAAATTACAGAATCAAAATGAGCCATTTTGTTAAAAAAAAGTCGGGAAGGAAAGTGGTGAGGCCTTTATGGTTGGATTCCTCTCAGTCAACCTCTCAGCTGATTATCCTGGCACTGGGGAGCTAAATGTCATGCAAATTCATCTGCAAGTCCAGGGGAAAAGGCAGGTTCCATCACCAAGCTGTCTTTTATGCCTGTTAAGAGTAGCATACCCTCTCAGCCAAATGCCTCAGTTAATTAACACCTTGCCATTAGTGCAACTGCTTTCAAACAAGCAAGATATTTCTGTTGGCCTGCTGTCTGTTTCCTGTATAACAGAGAGAGAGGGGGGCCTAATAGATGGGGCTGTGTCTTCGTCTTGTTGTTTCATCTGGTGTTTTTGAAATTCTGATTTTCTCCTTTACTTTTGTCCAAAAACTGATGTAATGGAAAAGAGCATGAATAATTTAGCTGCAAGTTTCACCTCATTAGTCAACTGAAATGTGTCAGTCCAAATATGACACATAAATTCAATTCTGCTATACTTAAAAAACACGGAGTATTTTTTACTTTTAAAAGGAAATGTTAGCAATTCATTTCAGAAGCATTTTTTGTTACATTTCTTGAAATTCTCTTTTCATCCCAATGGCAATGAAAACATTAAAGGCAATGAGAAAATAAAGAAAGACATCTGTCATCTGTGGCAGCAGCAGGGCTGAAAAAAAAAAAAGCCTGACCAGTAATTTTACTCAGTCCGAGCAAAACTACCAGATAGCCTGCCTGTCCGTCAATCTAACTTCCTACTTACATGCACTCTTCCCTTGTGTGGGCCAAGAGTCTCCCACAAGGTGTTGTAGGTAGACCTTTTACCGGTCTGTGTTTATAGCTAAAGCTAGCGAGCTGGCGGCAGTGAAGGTACCCATGGCAGCTTTCGGTCCCTAATGGAGACTGCACTCGAGAAACTAAAAACAGTCAGATGCTGCAAGAAGGAAAGCCAGAATTAACATCGGTGTGGCTTCTGAATGACAGGAACAACCAGGAAAACAAAAGGGGCTGAAAAGTGACGCCATGTTGGTCATATTTGGAGGGGTGGTTTTGGAGAGAAGTCAGAACGAAAGGGTGAGATTTCATCGGTTTTCTACTTTCCTAAATCAAGCTTTCCCTTGCACATTTTTATGGATGCAGCATTTCTTAAAATTGAAACATTCTGGTGCATAATTATATACACCAATTACATTTCCCTAAATTCAGCCATACAGTACATATTTGATGCTTTTGGGAATTTTAGGATCTCCACTAGAACACTGAAATAAAGTTTGCTGAATTTGAACAATGTGCTGCTGAGTAGCATGAGTGGTAAAGGCTGTCTCAGCTGACATCTAGTAGGACAGTGTCATCGTTACAAAACAACTGGAGAACATCTGCAAAAACACAAACCACTATCTGTCTGTGTTTGTTTAACAGAGTAAAAATCTGGTATCTTTGCAATTGCCCCTACACCAAACCCAGACTGACTGATTCAGCAAAAGCCAATTCAAGTTTTCATGTGAGTGTTTCTGTTCTCTCTTCTACCATCTAAAAAGGTTGTCAAGGAACTGACAGAGCATTGTGAGGAGAATCAACAGCAGTTTTATTGCTTGTCTATCAAAGAAAGCATGTTTGCCAGAAAGTAAAGTAGGAGCATGAGTAGCATGAGGTTCACCGGAGTGACACTATATCAGTTTATGGTCACTGATTCTCCCTGACTGATGATTCCTGTCAATGGCGTTGATGCAAATGTCACAATGCATCATTTTACTTGACTTGTCTGTACTATGAGAGTATCTGCAGCTCTGCCCAGTGTCCGGAGGTCAATCGACTCCGGGTTATTGTAGCTGAACCTTATCAACAGCATCAGTGCTGCAGTCTGATGTGATTCCTTCTCATTTGTGAGCTTAACTGTACATATAATAGGTTATAAACCAGTTCAAAAACCAAGAATTAATCTTTGTTTTTCTTGCATTCCCCCTTAGTTGGTGTTGTCTGTCAAACTTTCCACTGTCATAGAGCACATACAGTATGTAAATGTGGCAGATAAACTACAAAAAAATGCATTTTTAAAACAATCTGTGTTTGATTTTATACCCAACCAAAGAAGAGCAGACCTTTCTAGTTGGCAAGTGTTAATTTTCTGGACTGAAATATGAAAACATTCTTGGCAACACAGTTGCTTATTGTTCTTATTAGTACATTTCACTTTTAAAAGAAGGATCTGTGAATAAGGAATAACAAATGTGTTTGGAAAATGTAATGCTATTTATTGTAAATTTGGCTGAGTTTGCTAAAGTGTAGACTTAACCAAACCAATTAAAGATCAGGACAGAGCTACTAATGTTACTTCTACATGGTGGATGTTCTTATCTTGAAAGGGTAACATAGCCTATAACCTCACAGAAATTCTAGTTAGCTACATCAGTGGCATGTCCCTTGCCTTTGGAAATAATGCTAAGCTAGGTTCATTATGGAATGCTAACATTCACAGCCTAAGTTAGAGATGATAAAACACAACTGAATTATTATTACTATAACAAATTTGCTGTTGTGTTCTTTTGTAAAAGCTTGAACACAAACACCACCCTCTTTAAATGCAGCCTTATGCTGATCCATCAACTGACACAGTCGATGTGGTTAGTTACAGCTCCTAAGCTATTCACACTGTATCTCCAGCCTCAGTCTGCATAAACATTTAGCAGAGCATAATGATTTCAAAACAATATGACAGCAGCACAGCGGTGAATATTAAAGCTGCTTGGCTTTGGGTGCTGTGTGATATACATAAGTCATTTCTTTAGTGGGATGACAGTGCCTTGCATTCAAAGGGTACTGTAGCGAGACTTTAATACCAGACAGTGTGCTCTGCCAACAGGGACATGTCCAGATAACTCAAACCCTTTTGTACAAGGGTAAATTTCTATTGATCGACATTGGTGTTGTGCAGCGAGCAGAGATTGTGTGATTTCTACCTGCATCTCTGATGCAAGATAAAGAGGATTGTAAATCGATTCTATTGATGTTCATCCCTGCTTTTTCCCCTTTTCATCTGTTCAATTTAGGTTATAGTACAGTGGTCTCCATAACCCTGCCTGGGCTCCAAAAAGGACCCCCAACCTCTCAAAGATGACACTTCAACAGCTGTTTGGCTGATAAGAATGACATGCCAAAGAGCATTAACAGTGCATTGTGGATTCATCGAAAGATAATGTTCCGCTCTGTGGATGTGATTCTGCAAGATAGAGAAGGTGAAAATGATTCAAAGTGATGAAGTCATGTCTGCATTGCTTGCAACAGGGCCTCTAAAAACACAAATCGCATAATGAAAATCATCTAAAGGATTAAACACCTCTTAAAATGCTGCAGGGAAAAACTGCACACTGGATCTCTTCTCATCCTCTTCACTCTCTTTTGTTTATTTCTGAGCAGAAATTAGAATAAATGTGTGGTCTCGTCTGCCTTAATATTCATCAGTGCATTTTTATTTTGTTATTTTTTTTCCCACTTCCTCTGGCTGACTGCTTACTCTTAATGATTTTCAACACTTGTTCACGCCTGTTATAAGATATTAAGCTCAGAGTGGCCTGCAAAGCCAATTATGTTTAGAGGGCTCATGTTTGTAGTTACAATCTGTGTCCAGGTGTCTACTGCCTCCCTGTGGCTCATAACTACAGTTACAACCTAGTGAATGTGTCAAGAAAAGGTGTGTCTCACAAAGACTTTAAATATTTGCTTGGTAACATTTTATTTTACTAATTAAATGGAAAATATAGATCGTTCTTCAGTTTAGTTGATTTTACAAGCAGTTGCTAACAGAGGAATTACTACATTTCATCTCAAGTAAATATTCATATTCATGCAATTTTAATAATTTCTGAAACCCCTCCATAGACATTTTTCACATTTCTGGATGTTCAATCCAACCTGCCGTGCACATACTCTCTAGGTTACACAAGCAATTCATTAGAATTAATTAATAAGAAAACAAAAGCCTGTGTGTGCATTGTGTCATCTATAATTAGCACTAAATTACTTATTTCCTTCCAGGAAACTTCTACTAAGAAATCACAGACTCGTAACAATGAAGTGTTACTATTTTTGTTAAATATAAAATTGGTGGCATCTCACAAGGACCTAAGGAAGTGTTCAACATTCAAGCCTGGGCCATTTGTTCAGCATTTACAGCAATGGATTATTAACAGCAGACTGCCTGGAGGCTCCAGCCCTGTCTGTTATTCACACTGTAACAACCATCAGCAAGAGAAAGCTTTGTTAATCACAACCAGTACAAGACATGGGTATGAAAACTGGCTTTATTTACTGGACAGATCTGATCAGATGTGCTGATGAGAATGTGTTAGCAAAAGGAAACTCAACATGGCTCCAGGCTGTGAAACTAGAACCACTGATTGTTTCATTTCTACTCCAGCATCATTCATAATTAGCTATAATTTAGTTATAACAGACATTTTTGTAGGTGCTCTTTCCCCCTCATTATAACAAGTGCACTACCTGCTGCCATTGACTGAGTAGGAGAAACTGTCTGATGTGATTACACCACACACATCACAGTTCCTCATCCAAAAAATTAGCTCTAAATGTTCTACCAATTAGATTGGTTGCCAGAGTTAGGTAATGATGGTAAAACAATGACCCAATATGAGTCAAATGACCTGTCCTACTGTAGCTCGGCGGTGTAGTGCGACGCTAGCCAAAGAGACAGCCTGGTATATTTGGCTTGCTTCACACACTGGCAGTTGACAAGTATTTGCTGTAAGCCCTGTACATGCCTGATCAAGACTGCTGAACAGAGAGACACTCAGACAGACAGGCAAACAGGAAGCATGTACCTCTGTGAGCCAGTTTCTGTAGGAGGATCTTGAGGCGTTGCAGAGCAGAGGGAGAAATCTCATGTGTGTACAGGTCTGCACCAGCCAACTCCTGGCACCTTCCAAGCACTCCATCTACAGAAATATAAAAGATCAACATGATGAAAACAGGTTCATGAAGGATATGCTTTTAACTCCAAGTGAGAAACTCACACAAACCCAATTTTCTAGCACACGTGTGTGACTCTCATGATGTGAACTGATGTCTACCTCCCCAGTTGAAAGTATTTGTGTGTGGCACCTGTAGTGTTTCTGTGGTTCTAACTTCTCATTTGGGGCAGGGCAATAGCTGGTACCTTTCCTCTGACAGCACAAAGATAAGCAGCTGTTCATGGCAGGACTTTATCTTGGACCGTGGTAATCTCCCTATCAGCAGGTCTCCCTCCTCACTCTGTGCAGGTTGCTAGACAACCCGCATCACAGTCCCCATCAGCCCCATAATTCAATGACTGGTCTAGACCTCTGGAAGATCTTGCAGATGTGAGCTGAATGGTTTCTCCTGTGTGTGTGTGTGAGAGCATGTGTGTGATCAAACATACTACCATGTGAGTATGTATGAGGATGCTACCGTGATTGCATGGGATCTGATGATGTAAATCAACACTTTGTGATGTACTCCAGCATCCTGTTAATTAGCCCCAAGATGTTGGATAATGACAGCAAATATCATTGGTACACCTGATGCCCAATGACACTTTAGGCAATGCAGAATACACAAACACTGATTACATGCTCCAATGCCAATGATGTACATCTCACAATCTTCTCTGTGATGTAGCATTTTTGACATATATCTTTGCATCAATAGTGAAAGTATTCAATTACAGTGCCATATTGAGTGTAAAATTCAGTGACTGATAATTACAAAGATTTTATAAGGATGTTTTCCAGACTTCCTCTCCCCCACCTGCCTGTGGCCCATTAAATGACAGCTCTGTACAGGAAAAGCCTGTGGGAGGTAGAAAATTAGCACAGACGACAGTAAGCTCAGGAGTTATTTTGAGATCTCAAGCAGTGCAGAGGAAAACCTCCCACCTACAGACGCACAGATCATTACAGACGTATCTGACACACGAGACATCAACTGTCCCATTAGTGTTTGCCAACAGCCCACGTTTTCGGATGATATTATAACATGGTTAGCTGATGACTAAATAAGGCTTGATTTTCTATGAGTTATTTTCCCCAGTTAGATAACATGCATTATGTTAGAAATGAATTATGGAGGATACTGATACAAATGACAGGAAAATATTTAATGTCTGAAATGTTGCATCTTTCACTGCTTTCCACAGCAATGGACACTATGAACAGCCACTATACTTCCCTAAGAAACCAAGTGAAATATATTGTCTACAGTCTCTTTTAAGTCGTCTTGGAGGTGTAAAATACTGAATGACAGAAGGTTTCTTCAGCTATATGAGATCAAAAGGGCCTTATTATTGGTTCTGACAGGTTCCTTGATGATTTAGTCAAATGTTCATATGTGTGCCAGAAATCTAAAAATTGTTTTTGATTCTGTTAAAATTTGACAGACAACAGTAGCTTCATGTACATTTGTTGGTGAAATGGCCTTCCCTGCAGAGGCAGATCTTCCCATCTCCTGTCACTTTTAAAGGCCTCACCTTTACACATTTTGAGTTACCATAAAGTAATTATTAACTTAATGATTCAATCATTTTAATTTCTTCCTGTAAAACACTTTTGTATGTGTTATATAAATAAATTACACTTTGTTTGATACGATATAACACATGTATTTAATAATGTCATTTTCCTGACACTGACCCAAGGTTGCTAGGCTGGTATCTCGTTTAGTATGTTAAAAATAATATGCAGATACACTTTAAAATAAAGAAATCCTTGATTGGCAAATAGAACAGTTGACTGATTCACTGAGAGCAACATGCAAGATGAACCACGAGGCACTGTTTTGTCACTTTATATTGTATATTCACAGTACTGGAATTATCCAACCAACCATGGTTCCTATAGTTCTAAATTTTTGACAGCTAGAAACAACATTTTAATTTTAGGCTTAGAGGAGAGACAAATGTTTTCATGGAGGGCTGTCCAACTCTGAAGATAACACAAATTGTTATCAGATATTTGATTGCAGTGCAGTTTTGTGCAAGACATCTATGTGAGTCTATCAAGGCTATTTGGGAATGAAGCCAAGTCTATCAAGCAGAGCAGTGATTTTCTAATGATATGCCGTCAGGTTTAAGAACATTTTTAAAATCAATCAATTTTTGCCCCTTTGCACAACAAGACAAATTGTTTCACCTCAAGGAATAAATGGCAACTGCAAAGCAATTTCATCCATAATGCATAAAACGAACCACTAAATTAATCAGTCAGTAGATGTACAATCCTACAAATCTGTGACATTCTCACTAAAGAGGAGCTGCTGTATGTCTGGATAAGCAGTATGTTAAAAGGAATAAAGAAGACTTTAAGTCAAAAACGGTAAAGAACTCTCGACATCATCTCTGCTGCTCCCACTGTGACAGATAGAGTGGCAATCAGCTGCTGCTAAAGCTATTTAAACTGTGAAAGCTAATGCTCTGGGATAACAGGAACAGGCACTAAAGCTGACAGTCAGTGAAGCATTTCTGGAAGACTGTACACTGGAGGGAGGGGAGGACAGACCGAGGAGACTAATTAAGATGTACTAGAATAGTCACATTGGCTATGCATGAAAATGAATAGGTCCAAATCAATGCACCAAGATGTGCCAGATCTGCTAATAAAGAAAAGAACAGAAACAAAAGCTAAAGTCAGGGCTGTGCACAGATATTTTGGGGGTCATGTGCTCAAGCTAAAAACAGCACTTCTCTCATGGTGCTCATTTATTAAAAATAAAGTTATGTATGCATACATTTATTTGTTTAGACACCCATACACTCATGCAGATGTAATAATACTTAACAAATTTAGACAAATAGCAATAGCCTTTAGTATTCACCATTTGTACATACAGTAAAAGAACAGGCAACAAGAGAGCAATACCATGTTATGCTGGCTTTAAAATAAATATTCAAAACAACTTTTTTTTTTTTTTTTTTTTACACAAAGTAAAAAAGGTTGATTTCTGCCTACTGTGCTTTTTCTTTGTTTTCTTTGCTACAAAATCTCCCAGCTCCCAGGTCTTCAGCTGGGTTGAAATCTGGTGACCGCGAAGGCCATTGCATATGATTTACATCATTTTCATACATATGAAACCATTCAAGTGACCCCTCATGCCTTATGGATAGGGGCACTGTCATCCTATTCAGGTTTTACCTGTCTGTATATCTTAAAACACTTTTAATAACAACCCATGAAGATGTGGATCAAGTTGATCACTTCCTTGGCATGTCAGCCTATGGCTACAGCTCCATTGGTATTCCACAAGAAACGGTATTTCACTACAGTGCCGAAGAATGCAAAGATTTAGGACACAGCAGTAATTGATGTTACATGTGCAGGTCACAGAACATACAGATGCTCACTCAGTCGGTGCACCATTCATGTCTACTGCCTGCACAATGCAGCCAAGAAGCAGCAGGAAGAGAGGACACCCCACCTGTGCCTGGCTAAAGTGAACAGAATATGATTAATAAATGTATTCTGGTCTTTTTATGTGACAGTTGTGGCTTTGAAATGATAATCATATTTATGCATGCACTGCAATCTACATGTAAAAACATAAATTAAAGATAAACCAGACTCTCAGAGCTTCATCAAACATATTGTCCATTGAATTGGACTGAAGAAAATTGTATCTTCACATTGTCTGAGCTTGTCTTTTTATTGTCCTTTTGTGGCATCTTTTATTCTGTACACTGTATGCGATTGTTAACTGTGCACATCAAGCTTGATTGTCCCTGGATCTGCACCTGCCTTGGCGCTCTGTCTTTGCCAATGCAGTCTGCTTGGATTATAGATTTTGTAGTGGTTACTTAGAGTGTTTTTGCTGCAGTTGCACTTGTTGCAAGCTTCTGTCAATAGAAGCATTAGCTCAGTCATTTAAAACACAACGTGGATATTTCAAACCATATTGGCCCAAGGAGAGGCAAAATAACCACCAATCAATAAAACTCTTTTGTTTAAGTGTTAAATAGAATCAACCTTAGTGCCTTCTTGGAATCATGTAGTACTTATCCGCTGTACATCATCTTAGTAAGAGTAAGCCACAAATTCTAGGTAGCTGCATCAAATTAAAATGTATTTCTGGCCTCAGGTTAATCCTACATCCTTTTAAAAAAGAGCACTGGAAAAGTATTTCCCTGAAGATGAAAATAAAGTTTGAAGTGGTTGGTTACAAAATCAGCTATAAAACCAGAAGATCATATTATATAAGGAGGATAGTTACTGACCAGCTTAATCAATGATACAATTACATCTAGAACAGAAGAACATACTGAAGGAACCTTTTCACAGCTTACCCCAAATATTTACTCTTTATTTATTCAGCTACACTTTTACCTAAGAAAATGATTGAGATTTTCATATCGTCTTGTAAACTTGAATAAAAGTACATTTAATGCAACTTTTTGATACTGATATTCAAAATTAATAAATATAAAATACAAAACATATTTGCATGTGTATTCATCCTCTACAAATCAATAAGTCAACAATTACAGCCTTGATTCTGTGTGTATACATAGGTCACTATCTTTTTAAGTCCAGCCAGGATGTTTTTCTAAAGAAAAAAGGGAAAGCATCTATCAGTTATGTAAGAATGAACGATTAAATTACATTATGTTGTTAATACTGGACTACTAATACTGTACTGTACTACTGGACTAATAAAGGTTTTCTAACTTCTAACTTTGTCTTGATCATCTTAACAAGTTCCTTCCTGTAAAACACAAGTGATGCTGCTTTAGGTGCAAGTCAGTGTTAGCTGGAGCATTAGCTGGTGAGGAACATGCATCTGCTGTATCAACAGTTCCAAATTTTAGCCAATAAAATCAATTATCAGCTAGAAAATGAAAAGCCTGCTTTTGTTTATTTCTGTGTGCAATAGAAGTAGCTGGGTGGTGCCTTCAAGGGGTGGCTGGGGTGGGCCATGGCCACCATTGTAAAATTACTGCAGGTGCCACTGGGTAGATCTGCCAAAATCTTTTGTGTAAGCTTCATATGTCATATAACAAACAGTCAGTTGCCTGCACCAGTGATAATTGTGGGTGAACACTAGCAAACATATCTTTTTAATTTCATATTTGCAATTAATTTAAGTAACTTTGCAGAAATCAAATTTCACTTTTATATGAAAAGGTCTTTTTGTTCATCGGTGACAAAAACACATTAAATCTACATACTAAAATGTGAAAATGTACTTTTTGTATCTGCTGTAAATGACAGGCAACCTTATATGAAATTGTATAAACAGATACCACACAGCTAGCAGCTCCTCTTCACAACCCTTCCCTCCCCTCAGCCACCGTGCATGGCAACAGCCTGGGTGAAGAAGAGCACGGCTAGCCCAGCCCACAATAAACCAGGTTACTCCTTCAGGAACCTGGGGAAGAGTCGAAGTGTAAGACCTAGTTACTCCCACTCATCCCATGTCTGTGTGGCAGCTGCTGCTCATCAGGCCTCCAGTCGAGAGCAACCGAGTGCAAAGGGTTATGAAGCAACCAAATAATGTCTCATTACTTACACATTAAGTGCACGATTAATCCAGCATTAGTCTTCTTGCCTGTGTATATTTGCCTTTAGTAAGCACAGCACTGTAATTACATTTCAGTGTCAGGCGCGTAATGCGAGTGCTGTTGTGTGAGCAAGAGCGAGGTAAGAGATAAAAGCAATGATGAAAAAATATTATCAAAAAAAACAACAATTCCATGTTGTTACATGAAGCCTCCACACGCTCCATGTCTTTGCCTCTGAGTATTTCCCTGTTGAAGTGTCAGCAATTTCACAAAATTTAATATTACCTTGGGTCATTCTGCTCCTCTGATTAAAATGTTTACATTTCAGCTAATGGTTGTCCTGTGTTAGTCTGTGTTGCCTATAATTATACTGTCTGCCACAGGGCAAGCATTCCCTTTGTTGAATCCATCTTCTTTGCGAAAAAGATTTTAGAATAAATCTACAAAAGTAAATGAAGTGAGCAAAACTAAATAAAATAAATAGCCTCAAAGCATTCATTATCCTCATGAGGGCAAAAACACATGGTACACATGTATGAGCAATACAGTATCCTGAACCACTGCTCCTGTGTCAAATCCACTCTCAGAATACATTAACCTTTCACAATGGCCCTGTCGTGAAGGTGATCCTCAACATCGACATGCTATCAGTCCCCATCAAAATTAAAGCCTGCTGTGGGATTCGACTGAATGCCACACTGTGAAGAGCCCCGGCCTTTCCAAATTTTGCATTCATCGGCAGACACTTGTCATGACAACCACTGATACAAACACATCCATCTTCCATGATGAAAGGTTTGCAGGGGAACCTCAGACACTGCAATAACTGAACCACTGGACAATAAAACAGTGACTATTTATTTTAATACCTTCCTATTTTGTTGTTCATTTTCACAGTATTTTCTATTTTGCTGCCGTTGTGCAGTGTTTGTCCTCTGCCAAGTACCTTTGGTTTTTTTTATACTGAAGCTAAAGTGTACCGCTGGCATCCGTATGTGAGAGACAGGATTTTCCATAGAGTACAGTACTTGCGTCACCATGAGACGCCAAAGGAACTTCACAAAACATGAATAAACACCTTGGGCTTCACATGTTTTGCCACTAAAAACTATGTGATTAAGTTTAGGCACAAAAACTTTGTGGTTAGGTTTAGGAAATTATTACAGCTTTGGTTAAAATACTTATCAGTTACACATCATCACAGCAACGTCACACAAAGGAATCAAACACCTCTTTCCTGTAGAAAAGTGTGGTTTGTCTGACAAACCCGCCCACCACAACCACCACCTACTAATGGGGACTTCTCTCACTTCATATACTACAGTATGTCAGCATAAATGCACGACCAGGCCTGTTGTTCTGATGCAACTAGGTTACTTTGTTCTCCCAGTGCATCTCATATGGACGCCAAACATACCCATTATCGCCAGTATGTAATGATTTGGGTATGAGAGTGAGCAGTGTATGTTTATACTATGCTGTGTTTCACTGTACTTAACTCCCAGATGTTTGCCAGACTTAGCTGAAACAACAAGATACCCAGAATATTTGGAATACCTATCTATAAATCCCTGAATTATTAAAAATAGCCAGGGTAGCTTTGAAATGAGCCGCCATAGCTCAAACTGTGTTGGCCTGCTGATGGTTGATACCACAAAGATGATATGAGTCTGACTTACCATTGACACAGAACTCATATGGTGTACAGAGCTTGTCTTCAAACAGGCAACCTGGAAATAAGAGAAAGTAAAACAGAAAGGAGAAAAGTTATTATACAACTAATTTCCCCTTGTCGACAAGCCTTATCCTAAACCAAACTAACTGGCTGCTAAACAGCTTTGAATGAACAGATATGTGAGTATAAAGGATTGTACATGAAGCATATGGGTGTTTCCAAAAATGTAATTTTAATCAATAACTAAATATACTGTAGCTGCTGCATTAAATACATATATAATATACATGAATTCACATGAACTAAATTAAGATGGGAGAAAAGACTAAACAAATCCAGCAGTTACTATTCAACACAGTATACAACTGAAAACAATAACAAATATTTTAATGGCTGTAAAGGAAAGCCATAAGCATATACAAATGAATATACAGAAATGCACTAAACTGCACTAAATATGTCACCGCTTTATAAAAGTACAGCTGAGCACTAATAACTCAGGCTGTGGGGCTCGCTGCTCATGGCAGAGGCATCAGTCATCAATTAGTGCGGCTTGGTCTCTCCTGTCTCTGACACTAATGCCCCAAATTCAAGGGCAGTGTTTCCACATATATGAATGTTGTATGAATTTTAATGAACTTAAAGCTTGGACTCGGGCTGGGTGTTCCAGACTAATAAATGAACAGATGGCAGGAGCATTATGGGTAGCTGTTCCCCGTGTTCATATTTCACTCATGGGGGTTGCATGAGAGCAGAGGGCTGATTGTTCTGCTCACTGATCTGCAGAGGTGATCCTCGACATTTTTTACCAGAAAAAAAATGTCCAAGAGATAAAAACCTCCTCTTGAAGTGTGATTTTCTGTCTGGCAAGCTCAATGTAAAGGTGCACTCAGGGTCAAATTGAGACTAGACAGTGATACAGACCTTGGGTCATGAAAGGAGCCACTTCAAATACAGCATTTGAGCATGTTCAATACTGTCTTGACAGGCTCATACTATAGAATTTTTGGCATTTACAGAGAGAAACAATCATGTCTGTTATTGCTGCTCATCAGTCGGTGTGATGGAACAAGATACACCCTCGTGGTCTGGTTGCCTTGATGGACAGCTACAGCATGAGCACTTCATGACAGTTAATAAAGAACAGGCTGAGTACTAGAGGATTCTGTTAGACTTCTTTAACAATTAGAAGATATATTAACACAAAAACAACAGATACCCCAATGTTAACTTCCAAAGCAAACTCACATAGGCACTGTGTGTATGGTAAACCTGTCTGCTATTAAATCCAGGTTTATTTCTCCAAGAAACCTGCATTTAGCTTGAAGATAACTACAAAATTGTATAAGACCAAACTTGTATAGAGCAGCATTTCACCACTCAGTAATTAGGGTCAGTCCATTCAGCATTACCTCCTCATCACTTCCCTACTCGGGTTCTCTGGGTGGCCTAGTCAGTTCTCAATATAAATTACAACCTTTCATTTAATGAAGCATCCAGCCAAGCATAGTTAGTCAGACACTGTGTATGACTGTGTGCACGTGCATGCATGTGGCAGGCAGACTCATACTGTCATACCCCCTCTATACAACACCATGCAAGAGACCTGCCATGGCTGAGGATGCTGGTGAAAATAGAAACTGTGTTCAGGCTATATCATTATGAAGCATTCATACATGTGAAATATTCTTACACTTAAATATGAAACACACACACACACACACACACACACACACATGCACATGAAATACTATTCATATGACACCTCTTGTAGATGGACCCGACCCATGCCCGAGAATGTGGTGTCCGAACACGGCCTGGACCTGACACAGTCGAGTTTGTACAACGTTTTTCTCCTTCATCATCATCATCATCATCATCATCATCATTAAATGAAGCAGACATTTGAGTACTCCAAACATCTAGCCTAAAGTTTGACTCACACATCCAAACCCAACCCAGACCCAAACATAATTTCTAAATTTCTGTGTGAACCTGGCCTGAACCCTCAGATATCAATGGGTCCCGTCAGGCTCGGTTTGGGTATCCTCACTCTAGTATACCTACATACTGTACATATGAAATACTTGCATACTATAATAATCTCTCAGATAATCACCTGTACATGATCAAGCCATTTATTACACAACTAAGGGCACATTTAGGTCCAGAGGAACTGTTTGAGAGCTTCTCCAGCATTTGGCTGTTATTGTCTGACCTTGCCAAGAACATTAAATGTGTCCCTATGAGGTGAAACAAGAAGCCAGAGGCTTGTTCGTTCACTTTCCCCTCACAGGTTGTTGGCCAGTGCCAGGATACCATCTGTGATGTCTGATGGGCCAAGGTGGATGCTGGGAATCTGGCAGGGAGGACAGCAACTCCCAGAGCCCTCTATACTTTAGGACATATTTCACTCATGTTCTAGAGCCCCAGCACATCTTTTATAATAAATATAAGCTGCGACCAAGGTCATCTAATTCATTTTTACTTGCACACACACACACACACAGCTATGCTGTCAGCCAAAAAAGTCATTTTAGAACAGCATGGCAATAAGAGTGCCAGTGAATTGAAAAGGGAGTGTGGCTGGAGCAGGAAGAGCAGAGAAGAACATCACCTGCAAGCAAATTAGCATGAGCTTGACACCATGTCTGCAGATTCAAACAGCTTGTGTCATTAGGGCGCTCTCCTGCTAAAATTAAAGATGGCTGCAAATGGTCTGTTCCTGTCATCAGCAATTCAGCTATAGTTAGTTCATTATTACACTTAACATTTTCATCAGTTTCATCTCATGCACTTTCTATCTTAACATGATAGGCCGCATTTTATGAGCCTTTTGAAACCTCTGTTTTTCTGGGATGAACACTTCATTTTCACTCCACAAAAATACCATGCACTACAAAATACTATTTTACATAAAAGTCAGGGGGGTTTTAGGACACTATGACTAAAGAGGGAACTTCACGTGAAACCACCTGACATCCAGAGGAGCATAACATAACATAATTCTCACCAACTGTCCGGGCAGCCAGGTCATTCTGCTTCCAGCTGCAGGCATCAGCTAAGTCAAAGGCGTAGTCATATCAGTTAGAACTGAGAAACAGTCTTAAATGTTAATCAGGTTCATCCTAAGACAAATCAGACACATCACTGTTTTAATTACAGCTGAAATGGTTTTGATTCATTCTTGAGCTAAACTCAGAGACTTCAGCCTTCATACAGTGTTACTGACCTCAGTAATAACCTCGACTCTGCAACACAGCAGTAACCTTCACCATGAACCCATTACAAACTCCATTTCATCTGAAATGAACAACACTGTTGTGAAAAACCATAACATAGCCGTCCTATAGTACTTTTAATCGCCAAGTATGTTTTAACACATTGTCATGATAGCTGTCAACCTCAAGGGGGAGAAAGTACAAGAGGTAAATGTTTTGTGCTGTTATGTGCAACATGTGCAGTTTTAGCAAAATCACAGTGTAAATACATCATTACACCTGAAAGATCCCTAAGGAGGAAACTGTTGCTATTGCTATGTAATTTAATTTTAAATTAAGCTGTAAAAGAAATCCAGTTCTCTTCTGAACAATATAACTAAACCTTCCTCATCTCCCTAGTGACACTTCTTCTTGACCTAGAATATCTTCTAGGTTCACTTTAAACCAAAGCCGGTTTAGATGGACTGCTTCAACATGCCTATTGGACACAATTCTGACTTCCTTCCTCTCAAGAGCTACGGACGTTTGTCCGAAGAGAACATAGAACCAAAGCTTGCCTGCTTTGCTTGCACTCCCTCAATTCAATAACCACTCAAAGCCAACACACTCCTCCGAGCATCTGTTCAGTCACAAAGAAAACATCACACTTCGTCTGTTGTCACCCCAGCAGCCTCCCCAGGCAAGAATACACAGCCTGGTTTCTGTTAATTTCGCTCAAATTTAAAGGCTGCAACTTTAAAATAAACTAAAAAATTCAAAAACCCACCATGAATTTGAAATACAGCACCACTTGAAAAGTCTACAATTCATGTGAAACTGAATTTCAGCAAACAAGGCTTGAGCAGCTGTGGAGAGGTTGTTTCTAACACTTTATAAATTTTATAACCGTAATATGGATCAATAGGCATATATAATATTCAACAACAGGTGACAGCAGAGAACGTTTTGAGTAGTTTCATTCATACTGAATGCTGCAGCTGCTGAGATTATTCATTTAAAAAACAGACTTTAGAAATAACACAACCAAAAGCTCATTCAGCCATCCTGTACAGCCATGTGTAGTACATAATAAAATGGCAGCTAATAAATAGCTTGCTAGGCTGTGGGTGAGTTAAAGCCTTTAGGGAAGGCTCAACATGCCTATTGGACACAATTCTGACTTCCTTCCTGGAAGGAAGGAATACTTCGAGGATCTCCTCAATCCCGGCGCCATGTCTTCCGATGAGGAAGCAGAGGCAGAGGGCTCAGAGGTGGACTCGTCCATCACCCAAGCTGAAGTCACTGAGGTAGTCAAGAAGCTTCTCGGTGGCAAGGCACCGGGGGTGGATGAGATCCGCCCTGAGTACC